ATGTGACAAAACACTTGTAATTAAGCAGAAAAATAAATTTTAATATTCACTTTAAATAGATAAAATATATTATATATTTCTTAATTAATAATTTTTAAATGTTTTTTAATGACTCTCTTTCATTCATCTTAATTAACATTAATTTTTTTTTCTATTTTATTATGTGGGGATGCTAATGTTAACGTTTGCAAGGTGATGGAGAGTGCAATCACATGCCATGGCTCCGCGTGAGTTTGATGTATTGGCCCACAGCACCAAATTTCTTAATTTTTTTTCTGAATATTCTTGGTAATTTTCAACTTACACAATTATTTCAGATATTATTGTTATTAGAAAAACTTAAATTTCTTTTAGAAATGTAACAATTTACATTGGGAGTTTAATGTTGCGTTTGGATATGGGATACTGTTCATATGTACAGAAGAGTGAGAGTCGATGTTGTTTGGATCAGGGAACTTATAACGATTTGTAAATGTTGATTTGTTCTTAGATGTCACTTAAGAAAGAGAAAGTTACGTCACAGAAATAAAATTATTCATTAGGTCCTTTGATTTTAAGTAAATTTGATGTTGGTTAAGTTTATGATGGAGAAATATGATTATTTTTTGCATGGACGGAGGTTCTAAAAGGATAAAAGCGACGAAGATGAAGGCTTGGAAATGGAGTTTGGGAATGAGATAATTAATTCTTTTAAAGAAAAAAATTTCAAACATTTGAACCAAATTGATTCTCCTCTTTTATCATAACCAGAAAATCAATTCACCTTTTCACGAAATCGAACACTTTTTATACAGAATTTATTTGCTTCTTTTATACATACGTATAAGAATTTATCCGCTTGTTATATAAATATACATATAAGAATCGATTTGGTTCTTATTTATATATATAAAAGAATCGATGCCTTCTTTTATATATATAAATAATCAATTTTATTTTTTTTAATAATAATAATAATTTCATCCTTAACTTTTTTAAAATAATAATTTTAATTTTGTCTTAATATAATTTTCACTAATTACATTTAAATTTATATCATATTTATCTTCAAAGATAAAATGACAATCATCTAATTTTATTCAATAATTTTTTTTTTAATTTCTCACACTCATCATATAGTACACAAATTTTTATAAACTTTCATCTCAAATCACATCATTTTTTTCCTTAATTCAAACAACATCATATTCACCTTGAAATTCACTTAAATCAGCTTTTTCAAGCCATCGCTAGATACAAACACAACATAAATGAGGTTGTCAAAAGGACTACAACTTTCCATTTAATAGTATAAGATTATTGAATAAAACATTATAAAATTGATAAAACAAAACAGATATTTACATACATGTATGATATTAATACACTTATCCACCATAATAACTATTGTAATATACATATCAACTATGATCATTTGAGTTTTTCAAAACAAAAATAATTCCTATACAAAACATCTATAGAAAACTATAAAACTACTTCGTCGAATCCTCACCTTCCATCAAAGGCTTATCAACATCTATCTCACAATTTACTCACACCATTAAGTGATCATTGCAAAAGAACAACAAAACACAAAAAAAAAGAATACATGGTAATGTAGTGAACAAAAGTATTTTCCTAAATTATTTAAAGTATGTCATATATAAACTAAACATATAAAAAATACAACATGTCACACATATATTCACACAAACAGTTGACATTAAATTCAATTATTAGTATGTCTTTGACATTGGTATTCACTATAGGCGTTGAAGTAGTATTACTCTATAGAGTCATAAACAAATGGATTATCATTCTACTACTTACAAAGTTAGTCTCTTTTGCGCTTAGGACAAAAAAATATTGTGGCAAAGACCTTCTATTAAGTTGAGTTATATCGAATCTTTTGAGTTCTAAAAATTAAGTTGAGTTATATTTTGAGTTTGAATAAAAATTAAGTTGAGTTATATCGAATCTTAAGAAAGTTAAGTTAAACTACTATGAACAAAAATTTGAAATGAATCATTACGAAAATGAGTTCTATTGGACTAAAGGTCGAGATAGATTAATTAGGAAAAAAATTGAGATAAGCTAACAATTTATTTGCATCAAACCATGTCAAATGTTGAGAAGAGTTGGTGTGGATCGAAGGTCAAGACAGGTTGTCATGGATCAAAGGTTAAGATAGACCGATCCAGGTCAAAAATCGAGATAGACTGGGTTGGGTCAAAGGTTAAGACATGTTAAGTCTGACTAAAGGTCGAGAAGGGTTAACCTAAATTAAAGGTTGAAATTGGTTGATTCATACTGAAGATCAAGACAGACTGATATAAGTCGAAGGTCGAAACAGGTCGAGCCAAAGGTTAGGATGGGCCAATCTAACCCAAAGGTCATGACAGGCCCGTCTGAGTGAAAAGTCGAGACGAGCGGGTCGGGCCACGATAGAAATTTGGATGAATTCGACCACAAGCAAAATTTGGTTGAATTCAACTGGGTCATCTATGACCATAATTCAGTTGAATTTGACTGCGTCATCTGTGGTCAAAATTCTTATAAAATTGACTTAGTCTGCCCTAGTCAAATTTCGGTTGAATTGGTCTAAGTGAAATTTGTCCAAAATTTGATACAATAGTCTTTGACTGAAATTCATTTGATAAATTCTAACCAAAATTTAACTGAATTTGATCGAATTGATCAAAATTTAGTTAAATACATTAGAGTTAAACCTAATAAATATTTGACTAAATATGATTAAATAAGTTCTAACTCGAATTTAACGAATTCAATTAAGTTGGCACCAACCGAAATTAGAACTAATTTTACCGAGTCTCTGGACAAAAATTTGACCGCATTCACTGTCAATTTACATGAATTGCAGATTTCTATTGATATATTTATGAATACAAATAAAAAATAGACTAAATGATTAGATTTCCTTAACTCTATATTCGAAAAAGTTATACAAGATCGAGAGAAGAAAAAAAAGTACTGCCATGTAATAAATATATCAACTAATTTATTTAATAAATATAAGACATGAAATAAATGTAAATAAAAAAAGGACAAACATGCTATTATTTTATTGTGTGAGATAAAATGGGTTGAAGAAAAGGAAGTTTAAATATTATGGTTATGGTATGAAAAAAAAAGAATGATAAAAGAACATCGAACTTGGTAAAAATGCACATCCAATAACCGCGTTAGTATTTTTATCCACCTCGACCCTAACTGTCATTCAACATACCAAATATGTGCGAATCAAGTGAATTTTAGGAAAACCATTTAAACAATTCATTCTACTTTATTTATTTAGTGCAATTCATCTAAATAGATAGGTAGTTATTTAGAAAAAAAATTATAAATTAATTAATTTGTTTAAACTTTTTCATCAATATTTTTTATAATTTAATATAATTTTTTATTAACCCAAAATTCATTTATGTAATAAAACATGAATAACTGTATCTTCTTATAATATTTCATATTTAATAAATTTAACAATTAGTTTTATCCTTTGGTTAATTAAATAATTTTAATTCAAGAAGTTAGTTATTAATTTTTAAGTTACAAACTAAACATTTAACTAAAATTAGTTTATCAACTCGAGATAAAAGTGTTAAAATAGATTTTAACATGTGAGTTGAGGTTAATTTTTTTTTAAATTATAAGTTACAAAAAGTGACTTGAATTCAATTGATTCATTTTTAACTTAATATCTGTCAGTCAAACCATCGTTAACATTTCAAATATTAGAATATGAATTAAGTTTTCCATGATTTTAAATGATTCAAATTAAATAGTTATTTAATCACTAATTAATTTTTAATTTTAATAATCTATATAGTTTTATTAAATTTATTTATAATTCTTATTTTAATACTAATAATAAAATAATGTAAATATTAGTAGAAGAGTAACCATGTCCATTGGCATGATGAAGAGGGATTAAAGGAACTAAAAAAGCCAACATTTTGGTTCCGAATTCCAATGAATGGAGAAAAAGGGGCAAAACAGAAGGAAACCAATGGGCATCTTTGACAACCGAGGCCATCGTGTTGGCTGTGACGCATATGTGTCTCCACCCTCACAACAAGACAAATTGCCCACTGCATTAAATCGAAACCTGTGCCTATGCTTCACTGAAGCTAATTATAAAAAAAATTAAGCTTAACTTTATTTAAGAAATTGTTTTTTTTTCTTAATTCTCATCATAAAGTATTTTTTAAATAAATTATCGTACCCGATTATACTTATAAAAATATTAGTAATTTATATTTGTTTTTTATTAATCTTAACATAATCACTACCTTCGTACTATATTGTAATTTAATTTCTGTACACAGATTAAGAATAATAATAAACATTTTATTTCTTTTCAATAAAAATATTGTTTTATTTACTATAGATAGAAATATAAATATAATTTATTTATGACAGATTATAAATAAAATAGCAGAAACTACACTAAAAATTAAGAACGTCAGTTAATTTATTTATTTTGAAAACTAGAATTACAAATATTTTATATGGTATGATTTTTTTTATCTTTACCTAATCTAATGTTAGATAATTTCAAAGTAGACTCTTTATACAAACATATGATAAATAACTAAACTATAAATTTATAATAAATAATACATACAACAAATTAGTACTTTGGCTTTCTTGGGAATGTGTTTCTTATGATAATATTACAAAAAAAGAAAGAAAAAAGAATGAATATATTCTATTTTTATATCATATAAATTAATAAAGGTATAAAATGGATACCACTTGACATGAAGAATAGCCTAATATAAGTGTGAACCCATTTTGTGAAAACTACATCAGTCAAACAAATATTGTCGAACTAAAAATAGAAGCTGTTTTCTTTTTATCGGACCCGTTATGTTTATTAATGTTTTTCATCTCCTTTTCCACTGTGAACTTAGAAGTTCATAGCCCATAGAGTTTAAGTGTATATCGAGAGTGTGTATGCTTCACTGTAAACAAAATGGGTCGTTGTTGTAATGTAGGTCCATAGAATTAAAAAGTTGGGCCAGCATGACTCCAAGCAAAGTTGAGGCCCATACAGACGGTGGTTGGTGTGAGTTTGCGTGAATCTTCGTCCTCATGTTCCGCTCTATCTGCTTAACGCGATCTGTGATTGTCCCGACAGAGAGAGATGACGATGCATTCACGGATTAGAAGTGTTGCCGGAAACATCAAATGCGCCGCGAGACTCTTCAGTTCATCATCTGCAACCTCTCCGGCGGCGCCGTCGCAATTCTCGAATACTCTGGCAGGGCTCCGGGATCGGCTGGCGGAGGAGTCGCCGTCTCTCTCGGACTTCATTGCGCTGAAATCGGAGAGCGCGTACTCTGTAGAGGTTGGGACGAAGAAGAAGCCGCTTCCGAAGCCGAAGTGGATGAAGGAGGTTGTTCCTGACGGCGAGAAGTACGTGCAGATTAAGAAGAAGCTCCGCGAATTGAAGCTTCACACTGTTTGCGAGGAGGCTCGCTGCCCTAATTTGGGCGAGTGCTGGTCCGGCGGCGAGACAGGCACTGCTACCGCGACTATCATGATTCTCGGTGACACTTGTACTCGAGGTTGTAGGTTGTAATCCAATCATTTGGCTTTCTTTTTATGTGTTTTAACTATTTATTTATTTTTTTAATTGGTGCATTTATTTGTTTTCTGAAACTGGATTTGAGGAAACATGGATAAGTAGGTAGAGCAAATAATCCTTCATGTGTTTCAGTTTGATTGATAAGTCGAGCAGATAGGACTAGTCACTGGAGTAAAAAATAACATGGAATAGTTTTGTGCTCATGTTATGAATTCTAGGGAATGCTGTACTTGCTTGAAGCAATGCATGTTTTACAGATTGAGTTGTTTACTTGCTTAGCACGAATAGTTGACTGAGATTGTAATAAATTACATGTACAATCTTGGTTACTCAACTCCAAAAACTAGCTCATGAAGTTAGAGCTGTCCCAAACTTGTATATATTTTTTTGGCCATATCATTAGTGAGCGTGAGATCTCGAATATATTCCTTCAAATTCATGACTTGACAAGTTTACAGGATTCCATGTAATCCTATAATGGCTTGATAACAGTGACTCAATATGTCAATTAGTAATCACTAAAATAGGCTCTGATATCATGTTTAAATTTGAGTTTGGATGTATAACAAACTTTGATGTTAAAATATTTAGTTGTTCAATCGATAACTATAACTGTACTTCTCTTATGGGTAGTGCTTTTTACACATTACATCCTTTTGTTTGGGAAACTACACACACGATCATTGCTAGTCAAGGAAGGTAGGTGTAATTTCCCAAAGAAGTACTGAATGTAATAAGAACTGACTTCACGTAAGGTTTGAATGATTACCCACGACTCATTCTAGTTCTGTGGATTGGTTTTTTCACAAACACTTTCATTTAATTATTTGTTTTTAATTTTCAGATTTTGCAATGTTAAGACATCGAGGACTCCTCCACCACCTGACCCTGATGAGCCCACCAATGTGGCTGAAGCAATTGCATCATGGGGTCTGGATTATGTGGTTATAACTAGTGTTGACCGTGATGATTTACCTGATCAAGGGAGTGGTCATTTTACTGAAACAGTGCAGAAGCTGAAGGTACTGAAGCCTAATATCCTGATAGAAGCCCTAGGTATGCATTTTAATGTTTATAGTTTCTGAAAATAGTATGGCATCTGGTTCTATCAAATAACAAACAAACCAAGCGAAGCCTAATTCTGATAGGTGGGCACCTAGTTCTATTTAAAAAATTAAGCATCCATACGGTTTGCTATTGTAGTTTGTTGACAATGGGTATGAAAGGAAGGTTTCATCAGTTTTTGAAGTGTAGGATAGTTGGTTGCAAGGTGAATCAGGTTGTACCTATAGTGCTAATTTCCCATGCAGTGTCTATTGCTGAATTTCATAGACGTAGTATTTTTATTACTGAAGTGTGATATGCTAACGGTACGGCTTTTGATAGAATTAAAAAGATATCTTGTTTACAGGTCAATGAGAATAAATTTGTTTTGATTTTGTATTTTCATGTTTTTATATTAGGTATCAATCTTAGTATATATTTGTTGATGTTAGATATATTGTGTTTTATGTTAATTAGGGAAACATGTTCCTATGTTAATATGATATTAGAGTTATGGTTTAGAGCTTATTTTAGCGAAATTTGTTGTTTGTTGGGCATGTTCCATTTGCTATTGGACTGCTATCCGACCACCCATTAATGTCTAATCCCACGCACGAGATGTATATACCTCGGCGAGAGGGAGGTGTGTTGGAAGTCCCACATCAACTAGTGATAAGACCAATTTAGAGTATATAAGTGGGTGTAAACCTCACGATACAAGTCTCGTGGGGTTGAGATAGATTCAAAGTCCACTTCTTAACATAGTATCAGAGCTTAAGGTTCTTTTGAAAAATTTTCGTTGCTCCTGTCCACTGTAACTGCCGTCACCATTACCGCTACCGTCTGTTGCCATAGTTTCAGTTTCAACCTGCGACCATGCGGTTGTGCTTTTTAGGTCAGGCGACAACCCCAACACCATCCAAATTGTCGCCATTGGAGTCCATACACGCTCCCACGTGCCAATCAAAGTTTGCAAATGCTGTCTTTTCCAGTTGCTCGTGGCGGGGTGTGCGTCTTCTTTGGCGCCGATCATTGTAACCAGACTCATTGCGTCCTTCTCTCTTTGGATCTGGCCTTACTAAGTATGTCAATGTGAACTTGCTAAGTTAGATGATACTAATTATGCGACTTGGGCACCAAACATTAAACTTTGGCTTGAGAGTCAGAAATATCTTGATCATCTTACTCAAAGAGTGATTGATATTGCTCCTAGTGAATTTTCTCGTTGAAAGAAAATTGGTGCTCAGTTATGCATGGTTTTCAAGAATACTCTTCACTTTTCTTTAAAACAAATGTTTCATGCCTACGTCACCGGTTCTGAAGTCTGAGATCGGGAAAAATTATTATACACCAATGATACCCAACGTCTTTATGGTGTTTTTCACAAACTTTTCAATGTTGTTGCTCCTTGAAGTCAAGATTCTATGGTTGATTATTTGGGTAAGATTTAATGAATTATTACCTCCTGTTTCTACTCCTGCCCAAAAAATAGAGCAACGATCAAAGTTCCTTATGGAATTGGCATTACCCAGACTTGTTGATAAATATTCCCATGTCTGTGATCAGGTTTTGGGTTCCCTTGTTGTATCCAAAAGTCTACTTGTTCCATCCTTTTGTGTGTGCCAAGTAAACCCCTCAATGATACACCTATTTTTGCCCATGATGCTTCTGCTTTGGCATGTCAACATGATGAATCGCCCTCGCAAGCCAGGAAAAGGGCGTCACAAGTGTGACCATTGTGGCAAACTAGGTCACAAGATTAACATGTGTTATGCATTACATGGTCCTCCTCCTTGATCTGCTGTTGCTCATACTAATCCTCCCTCACAACCATCCTCTTTGGATTCTCATCCATCTGATAGTGCTGACAAATCTACTTTCTTCAATGAATTTCTTAAATGGTGTGATGATCGTCAACCCTTTAGTTCCACTGGTTCTGTTGCATGCACTGTACATCTTTTTGTTGGTCTAACTCAATCTTCTTCTATTGGTCCTTGGGTTCTCGATTCAGGTGCCATAGATCACATTACTGATAACAAATCTTTGTTTTCTTCTTTATCCTCTCTATATAATTTACCTTCTAATACATTGGCTAATGAGTCTATGGTTTTAGCTCATGGTGTTGAGACTTCTGACCTTTTTCCTTTTTATCCATTGACAATGTTCTTCATGTCCTTGAGTCTCTTTTTAACTTATTATCTATTAGTCTTCTAACCTGTTCTCTTGATTGTGTTATTTCTTTTACCAAAAATTATGTTTGCTTATAGGATCAAAGTTCGAGACAGGTGATTGGCATCGAATGTGAGTCTCATGGTTTTTATCATCTCCACCCTTCTACACATGTTGGCACAATTATGAAGTCGACATCTCTCCTTCATGCTTAGCTAGGTCATCTCAGTTTGGCTAAATTGCAACAACTTGTTCTTAGCTTGTCCAAGTTATCTAGTTTGTTGTGTGAGTCGTGTCAATTAGGGAAACATAGTCGTAGTTCCTTTCCTAGTAGTGTCTCACAACATGCTTCTTCCCCTTTTGCCTTAGTTCACTTTGACATTTGGAGACCTAGTCATGTTAAGTCTAATTTAGGTTTTCATTATTTTGTTATTTTTATTGATGATTATTCCAAATGTACTTGGTTATTTTTAATGAAAATTGTTCTGATTTATTTTCTATCTTTCAAACCTTTTATAATGAAATTAAAACTCAATTTGGTGTTTCTATTCGAACTTTGTGAAGTGATAATAGCCGTGAATATCTTTCAAATTCTTTTAAACAATTTATGGCTTCTCCTGACATTCTCCATGAAATTTCATGTGCTTATTCACCTAAACAAAATAGAGTGATTGAACGCAAGAATAGACATCTTATTAAAACAACTTGCACTCTTTTAATTCATGGTGAGGTTCCTCAACATTTTTTTGGTGATGCTATTCTTATTGCATGTTATCTTATTAATCATATGTCATCTTTAGTTTTAGATAACAAATTTCCTCATTCTATTTTATTTCCTCATGAACCCCTTCATCCCTTGCTTCTTTGTTCATAATTTTAGTCTTGGTCTTGATAAGTTATCTCATAGATCACACTAATGCGATTTTTTAGGATTTACTTGATCACAAAAAGGATACAAGTGTTTTTTTTTTCCTTCTCTTAACTGCTATTTTGTTTCTGTAGATGTCACCGTCAATGAGTCTTTTTTTTTTTTTTACTTTTAAGGGTCCTTCTTCTTCTGATGTGTCTTTGTCTACTACAATTAATATTCCTATTGTTTGTGATTCTTTTGTTGTGCCTAGTCCACCATCAGAATATTCTCCTCCACCACCCCCCTTTAGGTTTATAGTCAAAGATGTTCCCAATAACCACTAAATGACTCACTTCAAGTGCTAACTATTTTGTCTCCTCCTACTCTATCGATTGAGTCTGACCTTCCAATTGCCCTCCGTAAAGGTATATGTTCTACTCACAATCCTTCTCCCATTATATTGCTTTGAATTACCATAGATTATCATTACCTTTTTATATCTGTTTTTAGTTTATTTCTTCTGTGTCTATTCCTAAATATGCCAGTGATGCCTTAGCCCATCTTGGTTGGTGTCAAGCTATGCTAGATGAACTAATTGCTCTTCAAAATAGTGGAACTTGGGAGCTTGCTCCATTATTGTCTGAGAAATCCGTTGTTGGTTGCAGGTGGGTTTTTGCTATCAAAGTTGGTTCTGATGGTACTATTGGTCGCCTCAAAGCTCGACTTGTGGCCAAAGATTACACACAAATTTTGGATTGGATTATGGTGATATTTTTCTCCAGTGCCAAAGATGACTTCTGTTCGTTTATTTATAGCTATGACTGCTCTTCACCAATGACCTCTTTATAAACTAGATGCAAAAATGCTTTCCGCAATAGAGATTTTCACGAAGAAATTTATATGGAGTAATCTCCCGGATTTGTTACTCAAGGGGAGTCTTCTGGATTGGTATGTCATCTTCGCAAATCTTTATATGGCCTAAAACCCCTAGGGCTTGGTTTGAAAAATTTAGCAATGTTGTTTAACAATTTGGTATGACTTAGAGTGAGGCAGATCATTCCGTCTTTTACCGTCACTCAAGTGTTGGATGTATCTATTTGATAGAATATGTTGAAGACATTGTTCTTACAAGTATTGACCACCATGACATCTCCCAGATGGAATAACACCTTTGCCACCATTTTCAGACCACAGATCTTGGCAAACTCAAATACTTCTTGGGTATTGAGGTGACACAATGCAACGATGGTATTGTTATATCTCAAAGGAAGTATGCATTGGATATTTTAGAGGAAACTAGGTTGATGAATTCAAAATCTATTGACAAACTCATGAATCCTAATACCAAACTCCTACCAAATCAGGGGGAGCCCAAGCAATATAGAAGATTGGTTGGGAAATTAAATTACGCTATCATTTCCTTTGTAGTTAGTGTGGTGAGTTAATTTCTCAATTCCCCATTGGAATGTAGTCATCCGTATATTAAAGTACATTAAAAGATCTCTTGGAATAAGTTTGTTATATGGTTCCAATAACCATACAAAAGTTGTTTGCTATTCAAATGCTGATTGGGCAAGATTTCCTTTTGATAGAAGATCTACTTCCGGGTATTGTGTCTCCATGGGTGATAACTTGATCTCTTGAAAGAGTAAGAAAAAAAGCATTGTGGCAAGATCTAGTATAGAAGCAGAACATATAATTATGGTCCCAATCACTTGTGAACTTGTTTGGCTTAAACAATTGCTTAGAGAATTACAATTTGGGGATGTCACTCAAATGACACTTATATGAGACAATCAAGCTGCTCTTTATATCAATTTTAATCCCGACTTTCATAAGAGGACCAAAGACATTGAGATTGATGGTCATTTCATTCGAGAGAATAATGTATCTGAAGACATTAAGACTGAGTTCGTAAACTCAAATGACCAGGTAGCATACATTCTCACTTAGCCTTTATAGGTATCGATAATTAATTATATTTATAACAAGTTTAGTACATACGATTTATATGCACCTGTTTGAGGGGAGATGTTAGATATATTGCATTTTATGTTAATTAGGGAAACATGTCCCTATGTTAATTATGTTTTTTTTATATATTTATTTGTATCTAGGTTTAGTCCACATTCTCTTTATTATAAATACATTACTTTGTATATTTTCTACACAAGGAAGATTAATCTTAGTTTTTCACTATATTCAATAGTTGAGATGGAGAATTATTTAGGGTACTATGCTTGGTTAAAAACCTTTCTAAATACTAATCAATATTTCTTCCTTTGATGACTTGTGCACTATTGTTGTTGTAAAGTTCCGGACTTCCGAGGAGATGATGACTGTGTAGAGAAGGTTGCCAAATCAGGATTGGATGTCTTTGCACATAACATCGAGACAGTTGAAGAGCTACAGAATGTTGTACGGGATCATCGTGCTAGTTTTAAGCAGTCATTAAAAGTTCTAATGATGGCCAAGGAATATGCTCCTGCTGGAACACTCACTAAGACTTCAATAATGTTAGGTTGTGGGGAAACACCTGACCAGGTCGTGAAGACCATGGAAAAGGTTCGAGCGGCTGGTGTTGACGTGATGACATTTGGGCAGTACATGAGACCTTCAAAGCGCCACATGCCAGTATCTGAATATATTACACCGGAGGCCTTTGATAAGTATCAGACTCTTGGCATGGAAATGGTGAGTCTTTTTGTTCACGTGTTTGTATTTAACTTATTTTTGTTTGGAGAAATACTCATTTTTTTGGGAANCGAGATGTATATACCTCGGCGAGAGGGAGGTGTGTTGGAAGTCCCACATCAACTAGTGATAAGACCAATTTAGAGTATATAAGTGGGTGTAAACCTCACGATACAAGTCTCGTGGGGTTGAGATAGATTCAAAGTCCACTTCTTAACATAGTATCAGAGCCTAAGGTTCTTTTGAAAAATTTTCGTTGCTCCTGTCCACTGTAACTGCCGTCACCATTACCGCTACCGTCTGTTGCCAAAGTTTCAGTTTCAACCTGCGACCATGCGGTTGTGCTTTTTAGGTCAGGCGACAACCCCAACACCATCCAAATTGTCGCCATTGGAGTCCATACACGCTCCCACGTGCCAATCAAAGTTTGCAAATGCTGTCTTTTCCAGTTGCTCGTGGCGGGGTGTGCGTCGTCTTTGGCGCCGATCATTGTAACCAGACTCATTGCGTCCTTCTCTCTTTGGATCTGGCCTTACTAAGTATGTCAATGTGAACTTGCTAAGTTAGATGATACTAATTATGCGACTTGGGCACCAAACATTAAACTTTGGCTTGAGAGTCAGAAATATCTTGATCATCTTACTCAAAGAGTGATTGATATTGCTCCTAGTGAATTTTCTCGTTGAAAGAAAATTGGTGCTCAGTTATGCATGGTTTTCAAGAATACTCTTCACTTTTCTTTAAAACAAATGTTTCATGCCTACGTCACCGGTTCTGAAGTCTGAGATCGGGAAAAATTATTATACACCAATGATACCCAACGTCTTTATGGTGTTTTTCACAAACTTTTCAATGTTGTTGCTCCTTGAAGTCAAGATTCTATGGTTGATTATTTGGGTAAGATTTAATGAATTATTACCTCCTGTTTCTACTCCTGCCCAAAAAATAGAGCAACGATCAAAGTTCCTTATGGAATTGGCATTACCCAGACTTGTTGATAAATATTCCCATGTCTGTGATCAGGTTTTGGGTTCCCTTGTTGTATCCAAAAGTCTACTTGTTCCATCCTTTTGTGTGTGCCAAGTAAACCCCTCAATGATACACCTATTTTTGCCCATGATGCTTCTGCTTTGGCATGTCAACATGATGAATCGCCCTCGCAAGCCAGGAAAAGGGCGTCACAAGTGTGACCATTGTGGCAAACTAGGTCACAAGATTAACATGTGTTATGCATTACATGGTCCTCCTCCTTGATCTGCTGTTGCTCATACTAATCCTCCCTCACAACCATCCTCTTTGGATTCTCATCCATCTGATAGTGCTGACAAATCTACTTTCTTCAATGAATTTCTTAAATGGTGTGATGATCGTCAACCCTTTAGTTCCACTGGTTCTGTTGCATGCACTGTACATCTTTTTGTTGGTCTAACTCAATCTTCTTCTATTGGTCCTTGGGTTCTCGATTCAGGTGCCATAGATCACATTACTGATAACAAATCTTTGTTTTCTTCTTTATCCTCTCTATATAATTTACCTTCTAATACATTGGCTAATGAGTCTATGGTTTTAGCTCATGGTGTTGAGACTTCTGACCTTTTTCCTTTTTATCCATTGACAATGTTCTTCATGTCCTTGAGTCTCTTTTTAACTTATTATCTATTAGTCTTCTAACCTGTTCTCTTGATTGTGTTATTTCTTTTACCAAAAATTATGTTTGCTTATAGGATCAAAGTTCGAGACAGGTGATTGGCATCGAATGTGAGTCTCATGGTTTTTATCATCTCCACCCTTCTACACATGTTGGCACAATTATGAAGTCGACATCTCTCCTTCATGCTTAGCTAGGTCATCTCAGTTTGGCTAAATTGCAACAACTTGTTCTTAGCTTGTCCAAGTTATCTAGTTTGTTGTGTGAGTCGTGTCAATTAGGGAAACATAGTCGTAGTTCCTTTCCTAGTAGTGTCTCACAACATGCTTCTTCCCCTTTTGCCTTAGTTCACTTTGACATTTGGAGACCTAGTCATGTTAAGTCTAATTTAGGTTTTCATTATTTTGTTATTTTTATTGATGATTATTCCAAATGTACTTGGTTATTTTTAATGAAAATTGTTCTGATTTATTTTCTATCTTTCAAACCTTTTATAATGAAATTAAAACTCAATTTGGTGTTTCTATTCGAACTTTGTGAAGTGATAATAGCCGTGAATATCTTTCAAATTCTTTTAAACAATTTATGTCTTCTCCTGACATTCTCCATGAAATTTCATGTGCTTATTCACCTAAACAAAATAGAGTGATTGAACGCAAGAATAGACATCTTATTAAAACAACTTGCACTCTTTTAATTCATGGTGAGGTTTCTCAACATTTTTTTGGTGATGCTATTCTTATTGCATGTTATCTTATTAATCATATGTCATCTTTAGTTTTAGATAACAAATTTCCTCATTCTATTTTATTTCCTCATGAACCCCTTCATCCCTTGCTTCTTTGTTCATAATTTTAGTCTTGGTCTTGATAAGTTATCTCATAGATCACACTAATGCGTTTTTTTAGGATTTACTTGATCACAAAAAGGATACAAGTGTTTTTTTTTTCCTTCTCTTAACTGCTATTTTGTTTCTGTAGATGTCACCGTCAATGAGTCTTTTTTTTTTTTTTTACTTTTAAGGGTCCTTCTTCTTCTGATGTGTCTTTGTCTACTACAATTAATATTCCTATTGTTTGTGATTCTTTTGTTGTGCCTAGTCCACCATCAGAATATTCTCCTCCACCACCCCCCTTTAGGTTTATAGTCAAAGATGTTCCCAATAACCACTAAATGACTCACTTCAAGTGCTAACTATTTTGTCTCCTCCTACTCTATCGATTGAGTCTGACCTTCCAATTGCCCTCCGTAAAGGTATATGTTCTACTCACAATCCTTCTCCCATTATATTGCTTTGAATTACCATAGATTATCATTACCTTTTTATATCTGTTTTTAGTTTATTTCTTCTGTGTCTATTCCTAAATATGCCAGTGATGCCTTAGCCCATCTTGGTTGGTGTCAAGCTATGCTAGATGAACTAATTGCTCTTCAAAATAGTGGAACTTGGGAGCTTGCTCCATTATTGTCTGAGAAATCCGTTGTTGGTTGCAGGTGGGTTTTTGCTATCAAAGTTGGTTCTGATGGTACTATTGGTCGCCTCAAAGCTCGACTTGTGGCCAAAGATTACACACAAATTTTGGATTGGATTATGGTGATATTTTTCTCCAGTGCCAAAGATGACTTCTGTTCGTTTATTTATAGCTATGACTGCTCTTCACCAATGACCTCTTTATAAACTAGATGTCAAAAATGTTTTCCGCAATAGAGATTTTCACGAAGAAATTTATATGGAGTAATCTCCCGGATTTGTTACTCAGGGGGAGTCTTCTGGATTGGTATGTCATCTTCGCAAATCTTTATATGGCCTAAAACCCCTAGGGCTTGGTTTGAAAAATTTAGCAATGTTGTTTAACAATTTGGTATGACTTAGAGTGAGGCAGATCATTCCGTCTTTTACCGTCACTCAAGTGTTGGATGTATCTATTTGATAGAATATGTTGAAGACATTGTTCTTACAAGTATTGACCACCATGACATCTCCCAGATGGAATAACACCTTTGCCACCATTTTCAGACCACAGATCTTGGCAAACTCAAATACTTCTTGGGTATTGAGGTGACACAATGCAACGATGGTATTGTTATATCTCAAAGGAAGTATGCATTGGATATTTTAGAGGAAACTAGGTTGATGAATTCAAAATCTATTGACAAACTCATGAATCCTAATACCAAACTCCTACCAAATCAGGGGGAGCCCAAGCAATATAGAAGATTGGTTGGGAAATTAAATTACGCTATCATTTCCTTTGTAGTTAGTGTGGTGAGTTAATTTCTCAATTCCCCATTGGAATGTAGTCATCCGTATATTAAAGTACATTAAAAGATCTCTTGGAATAAGTTTGTTATATGGTTCCAATAACCATACAAAAGTTGTTTGCTATTCAAATGCTGATTGGGCAAGATTTCCTTTTGATAGAAGATCTACTTCCGGGTATTGTGTCTCCATGGGTGATAACTTGATCTCTTGAAAGAGTAAGAAAAAAAGCATTGTGGCAAGATCTAGTATAGAAGCAGAACATATAATTATGGTCCCAATCACTTGTGAACTTGTTTGGCTTAAACAATTGCTTAGAGAATTACAATTTGGGGATGTCACTCAAATGACACTTATATGAGACAATCAAGTTGCTCTTTATATCAATTTTAATCCCGACTTTCATAAGAGGACCAAAGACATTGAGATTGATGGTCATTTCATTCGAGAGAATAATGTATCTGAAGACATTAAGACTGAGTTCGTAAACTCAAATGACCAGGTAGCATACATTCTCACTTAGCCTTTATAGGTATCGATAATTAATTATATTTATAACAAGTTTAGTACATACGATTTATATGCACCTGTTTGAGGGGAGATGTTAGATATATTGCATTTTATGTTAATTAGGGAAACATGTCCCTATGTTAATTATGTTTTTTTTATATATTTATTTGTATCTAGGTTTAGTCCACATTCTCTTTATTATAAATACATTACTTTGTATATTTTCTACACAAGGAAGATTAATCTTAGTTTTTCACTATATTCAATAGTTGAGATGGAGAATTATTTAGGGTACTATGCTTGGTTAAAAACCTTTCTAAATACTAATCAATATTTCTTCCTTTGATGACTTGTGCACTATTGTTGTTGTAAAGTTCCGGACTTCCGAGGAGATGATGACTGTGTAGAGAAGGTTGCCAAATCAGGATTGGATGTCTTTGCACATAACATCGAGACAGTTGAAGAGCTACAGAATGTTGTACGGGATCATCGTGCTAGTTTTAAGCAGTCATTAAAAGTTCTAATGATGGCCAAGGAATATGCTCCTGCTGGAACACTCACTAAGACTTCAATAATGTTAGGTTGTGGGGAAACACCTGACCAGGTCGTGAAGACCATGGAAAAGGTTCGAGCGGCTGGTGTTGACGTGATGACATTTGGGCAGTACATGAGACCTTCAAAGCGCCACATGCCAGTATCTGAATATATTACACCGGAGGCCTTTGATAAGTATCAGACTCTTGGCATGGAAATGGTGAGTCTTTTTGTTCACGTGTTTGTATTTAACTTATTTTTGTTTGGAGAAATACTCATTTTTTTGGGAATTCATAGGAGTTGTTGAAGACGATAGCATTTATATTCCATAATTAATTGTTTTCTGTATCGGTAGTCATCCCAACTGCTTATTATAAGGGATACTACTGATTTAAGTCTCTATGCCACTAGGCTCGACAGTTTTGGCCCGACCCTTATCATAAGGAAATACTACCTCTTTAAGTCTCTACGCCAATAGGCTCGACACTTGGGGGGGGGGGGGGTAATTTGCCTGATGACCCTCTTAGCATGAAGGAATACAACCTATTTAACGGGTTGGTTATGATGCTAGGAAACTGCTGTAGAGGGATTCAATGACACTACTCGGAATGTTAGGTGAAAATCTCGGGGATATCCAATCATGGTACTTGAAGTTGGTTAAGAAATATGAACTATAAGGGATAAATGATATCGATTAACGTATGGAATAATAGAACCACTAACAGAACAACTAACTAGGCTTATAAAAAGCACTTATCACTGAACAAAATAACGGCTTGACGTACGGGGTCTAGCGTATTGGTAATTAGCCTAACTCCCTTAGCATGAGGGAATACAACCGATTTAACAGGCTGGTTATGATGTCTGGAAACAGCTGATAGAAGGTATTCAATGAGACTACCCGGAATTTTTGGTGGAAATCTTGGGTATATCCAATCATGGTACTTGAATTTGGTTGAGAAAATACAAACTATGAGGGATAAATGATGTCAGTTGACATCTGGGACAATAGAACCACTAACGGAGCAACTAACTAGGACTTATAAAAAGAACCTCTCACTATGAACAAACTGACTAAATTCTAAATGCTTTAGCTGGAAGCCCTAGGAACGATACGGAGGTACTTTTGGCCAGAGCAGTTTCCAAAAGTAATTGATAGAATCATGGTTATCAAACTCTCCAGTTAACTCGTAAACTCTTTCTGAGTTTACGTTTCCAGACATGGCTTCCGAGTTAACTCGGAAGTAAACTCGTTCTCTGCGTAAACTCGATAGAATCGATTGTGAAATCTGTAGGATCGTGTAAAATCGCGAGTTTGGAGCGATTCTGCGAATTTGAAAGTTATATATTTAATGAAATGCATCAAGATTAATGACAATAATTCATGTATTTATGTTTTACAATATTTATTTTTATGAACAATATAACTATAAATTTTATTTATTTAAAATTATATAATTTTGTAGACTTATTTGAATTAAGATATTTATATAATTTGTTTTATCTGAAGTAAACTCTCACGAGTTTACTCCACTTTCATGAGTTTACTTAAACTCTTGAATTTGATAACCTTGGATAGAATATATGATGAATATCTTGGAACACCAAGATTGTAATATTTTAGATTACCTTAGAGATTTTATCTTTAGAATAGTTTTTCTTTTTCTTTTGATAAGTGTAATATGTGGCTTTGCTAATTCTTTGATTTCCAGATTTCCTTATATTTCATGACTTGACTTCTTATTTAGCTAGGGATTATGTTATAGTGTTGTAATAAAAAAGAATTAGTGTTTTATCATCTTAATGCAACTCCTTATTCAGATTGTTTCATTTTGGTCCCTGTACCAAAAATCCAATAATTTCAACAGTAATTAATGATAGTATATTTTCTCATAAATTTTTCTGGCCTTCATGAAATCCTAAATATCAGTTCTGTACGATACTATTTTATTTATTTTGTTGTTTCCTGTGTTATCTCGGTGTAGATGATATTTGAGTGGCATTAAAACTTATCACACTTGAGCTTCTTGCCTGTATTTATTATTGTCTCAAAATTTGGGGCATATGAAAAACATCTCCTGCATCATTTTTGCTTATTCAGTTCTTGTAAAATAATCGCATCTTGCCAATCCGTGGTAAATTCAGGCTTGTTATTACCTATTTATTCTTAGGAGTTAGCACACCCGGACCCAGGGGACCTGTCAATATCAATCTTTACCTGACATTCTATTTTTATTCATCAACAAGCGAGTGCAATCATGGAACATTTCTCTCCTTTTAATTGTTGCATCCAGCATCATGATGATTTGTGGAAAAACTGTAATACTATAAAAGTTGCATATATTATTTAATTATAGCTATCATGTGGTATGAATGACGAACTGATTCTACTTTGCGTTAGGGCTTTCGATATGTGGCATCAGGGCCCATGGTGAGGTCTTCATACAAAGCAGGTGAATTCTATATTAAATCCATGATTGAATCGGATCGAGCTGCATCTCCCTCAAAGCTGACATCCTCTTGATCCATTATCTTTTTTTCTTTTATTTACTCACTCCAATGCATATGTAAGGAGCGCAGGCTCACTACATGCTGTTGATGCTCATGCCACCTGTAATATGAGTGAAAATCTGTAAACGGGCATGTGCTGTATGCCATTTTTTTTTCAGCCTCCTACTCAACCCCAACACCTATTATTTGGAAAGTGCAGATTTCAGAGTTGATTGTATATGTTCTCATTTACGTGTACTCATTTTCTCTATTTAACTGGTACTCATACCAGTTTCTGTAGTTATTAAAAGCAATAAATGTTTTCCTCTTATTTGAGAAATTGTCTAAAGCTGCTGATTTTATTACTGTTGAAGTGTTGATTTTATCTCAATTTGGGTTTATTTGGTAGTTAACATTCAAACTTATCTCACTGAACTTTATAGCAGCGTACTACCGCGAGCCTATATAATTGTGCTGGCAAATTGTCCTGAAGCCATGTTTAGTGTTACCGTTACATTCATCAGAAGGATAGCTCAGCACAGCAATGACTAGTGAGGTATTCTTTTTTTGGGTTGGGACTTATGACAGGCTGGCTAGTGCCTGTCTCTCAACATCTTGTGGGGACTGAAGGTAAAACAATTGAAAGGTGGAATACTTTGAGTAATCAGTTTTGGTTACAATACATTCCTGGAGCATATAAAATCTGTCGAAATATGGAAAGTTTTGGGGGGTACCCTTGTACCTAGGGTTCGTGTGAATATAGTCGTAAAATGCTTACTGGGGTAAATCTTGGTGAGGTTTTTGTTTTCATTGTCTATTACAACTTAACAAACTGATGCTGATCAGAAGAGAATCCATTTAAGTTTGTCCAGTTTTTGGTGATGCTAAGCTTCATAAGATAATAAATTTAGCTATCAATAGACGGTGCCAAAAATGGCAGCTCGACTAAACCCACATTAATAAAATTGTGTCTGCTTCAGTGCCAATAGGATATTTTGGTAATTTATCTGAAGAAAATATTTTAAATATAAAAAATAAAAAGCTACGTATTTTTTAAAATTTCAATTATATTAATGAAAATACTTTTTGATTTTAGATATAATAAAATAATTTTAAAAATTATTATTATTATTATTTTATATGTCCAGTTAAACAAAAAAGTTAATGAATTGAATAAAAAATATCTGATTTAATTTATGTCGAGATATTTATTTTACAGACTTTTCAGATTGCCTTATATTTTACTGCTCTAATAACAATTCGTTTTAATTTAGGTTAGCGTTTTGATTGGTGCATATTGGGACAGTTTTAGTAGTTATCATTATAGATATTAAAAGTTTAAGTATTACGTAAACAACGACCAAAATTTTTTCACACTATTCATAACGTTTTCTGTGTATTCGATTTGTTGGTTTTGAAATGAAATTACTATCTTTCTTAAGTGAGAATTCAAAAGGCTTCCATCTTTATTTTGCTTACGTTCTTTAGCATGATATTGACAGCCCTGGCCACCAATGTTTAGCTTTTGAATAATCTTTTCCCATTGCATTAACTTTTAGAATTGCCTTTTGAGCTCGTCCTTCTCAATTTCTTCCATCAAATTTTAGAATTCACTTTTGAATTCAACTTTTCCATTTTCTGAAAGGGAAAATATTATGACATTTTCAAAGAGAATCTTATTTTCATCGAGTGTTCTATTATGCAGGAAATAAGTGTTACCATTTCAGAAAACGTGCTAAATTTAGACTATTTAAAACAGCACTAAAAACTATATTAAATACCGTAAAAAATCACTTTTCTTCATCGCGTAGTTTTCGAAGATTTGGAATTTGAATTTTTTCAATTTAAAGGGTTGCCAAAAGCAGTTTCAAACTGCAATTTCCTTCTTTTAATAAACCTTACATTCCAATGGAGTTTTATAACCACGCTTCTATCATAAACTAACTATAATTGCAAAGCGTGGTCCATAAAATAACGTTCCTGAAGGCAACACAAATTATATTTTCAATATTTTTTCATCAAATATCTTGAAACAAAATAATTATTGACAGCATCAAGCAAATAATAATTAATTCTTCATACCCACTATCACATATATCATATTAAAAAAATATTACATAGCTTTTATTTAAATAAAAATTTAAGTATGGTTCCTTAATAGTTATTTATGATAATTTCTTTAGTCATCCGCCCGCATAAATTCAAATACTTAACATTGATGATGATTTTGAAACGGAGCTCAAATTATGAAAAGAGAATTTATTTATTTATTTTGCTTGGCTACCAGATATATGATTTAAACATTATATATTAATACTAATATTTTAACTATTGATTTTTATTTTAGTTTTTTAAAAATAAATCACATATGGGAATTTTGGTTTAATTTATACAATTCAATCCAACCTTTGAAGAATAAAACCAAATAACTGAGCAAGAACAAAGCGAGACAAGCATTTTGCGTAGGAGTATTCTTCTTTTACGTGAGATATAAACAGATACTACTACTTATAACTATCTATGTTAACTTTATATACCAATACGTTGACTTAAGTAAAATTAAATTTGAATTACTTAAAGAAAATCTCATATTCAAATATCTAGAAAAAAATCATTGGAAAAAAACACCATAATAAATGAAGTTTTTAAAGTAGGGATTAGTCATCATTCAAATTAAACAAAAATCTTATCTGTTCAAACACTATTAATTATTAATAAAGCAAAACAAAACTTTCAAGTAAAAGAACTAAAATTCAAAACGTAGCCATAACTTAAATATATCTTACTCCAAAGAATCCAAGGCGATACTTTAATTAAAATTACTGTATCTTTTTTTTTTATATTTTTTCTGAAGTTCTTTTATACGGACAAATCAGTAAAAGAAAGCCAAACTTTTATGAATGTCATGGAACATCCATGCTTTCTAACACCCAACTAAGCATTAACATTTACAAGAGTATTAAATTCAAAATATTTATTTAGTTAAAAGGAAAATATATTACATGTTTAGATTAGATTTTATCCTGCTAAGGTTGTGAGAATATAATACATGTCCAAAAGAATATTTACTTTTAATAAAAACATAAATACAAAAGTAACATACTTTCCTTTATTTACATCATTATTATTTAAAGTCTCAATTATTAACTAGTTGAACTTTTTTAATAAGATTGAATATATTTTTTGTCTCTTAATATTAAATGAAAATTAAAATTAATTTTTTTTTAAATTTTGAACTAATTTAACTTTTCATCTTTAAAATTTTATAAATTTAATCTTTTTAATCAAATTTTATTAAATTTATTTAAAATTTTAAATATATTTCTTAATTAATATTGAAAAAGGATCGATATATCAATGTAAACCATTCAAATATGTTTGAAATGTTAAATAAACGTAATAAAATTGAGTTAAAATCATTAAATTTACATTTTCTTGGAAGGATTAATTTTTTTAAAATGAAAAGATTAAATTGGTCAAAGTTTAAAATAGAAATTATTTTCATTTTCATCTTAATATTAAAATTTTTTAATGTGTTTAGTAGACTGTGTATCTGAAAAAGTATCAAACAAAATATAATTTCTTTCTAATAGCACAGACATAATTTAAGATAGTTGGATGCAAGTGTGGCATTCATCCAGAGCAAGATCAAAGCTATTTATGCAGCTCCAACCATGTTCTTGCTTCACTCAATCTAATTCATCTCACTAGTTACACCTTTTTTCTGTGTTCTACTTTTTCTCTTCCAATGTCTGTTGTCCTCTCACAACCTTTTTCCCCAGATCACCCTGCATTTCAATAGCCGTTAATCACTTTTCATTTCGTTACCCATCAAAATTTTCAAAACCAAATAACCAAAGCCATGCAACAACATTCTACACTGCTTTCTTTCCACCACCACTGCTACTATAACATTGTTGCAACTTGAAACTCAAAACTCTTGCCAATTTGTTCTGAAAACAATCAAATGGGTTGCTGCTTCAGCACCCCTAACTCCAACCAAACCCAAAATGAACCTCAACACCCTCAACCCCACCGTGGATCCCTTCAACAAAACTGCAGAACCAGAATCCCACAACCCCTTGAAGAGGAATATGTGAAAGAGGTTCTTTCTGAAACACCCATCTCCAAACTACAACAAATTCCAACTTTTAAGCCACAGATGAAGACCCAATTGCCCGTTATGCAGCCCCCAGAAGTGCCCGTAAAAAAAGCTTTGGAACCTGAGGAAGTCTCTCTTGTGTCGGAAACATGCAGCAACGGTGAGAGTTTCTCCACCACCACCACCGCCACCACCACGGTCACGGAAATCCGAGAAGATGAAGCCACGAGCAAGAGAAGCAACGCAACTCGGAACCGGAAGCGTTCCTACGCCGTGGACGGCAATAGAATCAGCTCCAGGGAGCGGAGGCAGAAATCTCCGGCGAGAAAGCCAGAAATTCCGGTGAGGTCACGGCCGGTTCCCCGGAGAGATTCTGATCAGGTACGCCGTCTTTCCGGCGGGGGTTCCATCCGACGGTCGAGGTCACCATCGCGTGGAGGCCGGAGTAATATCCGACCGCCGACGCGACAGGTTCCGGTGACTAAAGATGCCGTGCAGAGAAACGAAGGCGTTTCGGTGAAGGAGTCATTAGAGAACCCACATGTGTCATTGGAGTGCTTTATTTTTCTGTAGGTTCAGCAAGCAAGTTTTTCTGTTAGTTGTTTCAAGGGTTTTTGGTTTGGTGGAAGCAATTTTGAGTCGCATCACATGACATGTTTTGCATTTTAGTAGCAGTTTCAAGTTCATTCCTTTCCTTGTTTATCGGACACGACAAAATTGCTTCTGTAAATACCTGCAACTCCATATAGATGTTTTCCTTTTTTGTGTTCTAGCCTTATATTTCTGGTTAATTTGTATGGAATCTGCAGCAATAATATGTCATGTTTTGTTCTAATTCTATACACTCTTGAAAATCTTTCTGCAGAATGTTTTTTTATACAATGAATAACTAAAGCAAATGCTAAAAGTATATTATGTATAAAACTAAACTGTTAATTGCATGGACTTGATTAATCGTGGAACTAATTTAACTTGATGAAAAAAGTGTGATAATTGTACGGATGTTACAGTATATCTTGTTTAATTACATGATTTTGAACAAAAAGCAAAGAAAATATGTAAAAGTATTAGGATTGAAATATGATTGATGAACTTATGGGATCTGGATCGATTACTGGAAAAGAATTGACAGCACACTGTGCTTAGTCAGAGAAGATTAAACTATGTTAATCTGTTGAGATTGTATGGATATATGTTATAATGTATGATAGTAATTCATGAGAAGAGTTTAATGCAGTGAACCAAGAATGATCGTGGAAATTGAACATCCTCTTTGATTACTTTATGGGGGAGGGAGAAGAAGACAGAGACAGAGACAGACACAGAGGCTTCTTTTGTTTATGTGGTTTGTCTTGTTTTGTTTTCTTTTTTCTATTGTGTTCAAGCAAGCGTGTACTCTCATTTCAAGCGTGCGAAAAAGTGCAGTGGACCGCAAACTGACAAATCATGAGACAGGTTTCTGTGAAATGTTTTCACTTTACTGATTTGATTGTTAATAGTTTGTTTTTTATTCTATTGTCCAGCAAACTCCCTTCACCTTACTGTAAAAAATTGGTGACAAAGGATTAATTTGGCTTCACGGGAGTGATGAGTGTTGATTTTTGGTTCCTTTCTACACAGAATAAGTTTAAATGTATAAAGTTTCTTTCATAAACTATTTAATNTTATAGATATTAAAAGTTTAAGTATTACGTAAACAACGACCAAAATTTTTTCACACTATTCATAACGTTTTCTGTGTATTCGATTTGTTGGTTTTGAAATGAAATTACTATCTTTCTTAAGTGAGAATTCAAAAGGCTTCCATCTTTATTTTGCTTACGTTCTTTAGCATGATATTGACAGCCCTGGCCACCAATGTTTAGCTTTTGAATAATCTTTTCCCATTGCATTAACTTTTAGAATTGCCTTTTGAGCTCGTCCTTCTCAATTTCTTCCATCAAATTTCAGAATTCACTTTTGAATTCAACTTTTCCATTTTCTGAAAGGGAAAATATTATGACATTTTCAAAGAGAATCTTATTTTCATCGAGTGTCCTATTATGCAGGAAATAAGTGTTACCATTTCAGAAAACGTGCTAAATTTAGACTATTTAAAACAGCACTAAAAACTATATTAAATACCGTAAAAAATCACTTTTCTTCATCGCGTAGTTTTCGAAGATTTGGAATTTGAATTCTTTCAATTTAAAGGGTTGCCAAAAGCAGTTTCAAACTGCAATTTCCTTCTTTTAATAAACCCTACATTCCAATGGAGTTTTATAACCACGCTTCTATCATAAACTAACTATAATTGCAAAGCGTGGTCCATAAAATAACGTTCCTGAAGGCAACACAAAATATATTTTCAATATTTTTTCATCAAATATCTTGAAACAAAATAATAATTGACAGCATCAAGCAAATAATAATTAATTCTGCATACCCACTATCACATATATCATATTAAAAAAATATTACATAGCTTTTATTTAAATAAAAATTTAAGTATGGTTCCTTAATAGTTATTTATGATAATTTCTTTAGTCATCCGCCCGCATAAATTCAAATACTTAACATTGATGATGATTTTGAAACGGAGCTCAAATTATGAAAAGAGAATTTATTTATTTATTTTGCTTGGCTACCAGATATATGATTTAAACATTATATATTAATACTAATATTTTAACTATTGATTTTTATTTTAGTTTTTTAAAAATAAATCACATATGGGAATTTTGGTTTAATTTATACAATTCAATCCAACCTTTGAAGAATAAAACCAAATAACTGAGCAAGAACAAAGCGAGACAAGCATTTTGCGTAGGAGTATTCTTCTTTTACGTGAGATATAAACAGATACTACTACTTATAACTATCTATGTTAACTTTATATACCAATACGTTGACTTAAGTAAAATTAAATTTGAATTACTTAAAGAAAATCTCATATTCAAATATCTAGAAAAAAATCATTGGAAAAAAACACCATAATAAATGAAGTTTTTAAAGTAGGGATTAGTCATCATTCAAATTAAACAAAAATCTTATCTGTTCAAACACTATTAATTATTAATAAAGCAAAACAAAACTTTCAAGTAAAAGAACTAAAATTCAAAACGTAGCCATAACTTAAATATATCTTACTCCAAAGAATCCAAGGCGATACTTTAATTAAAATTACTGTATCTTTTTTTTTTATATTTTTTCTGAAGTTCTTTTATACGGACAAATCAGTAAAAGAAAGCCAAACTTTTATGAATGTCATGGAACATCCATGCTTTCTAACACCCAACTAAGCATAAACATTTACAAGAGTATTAAATTCAAAATATTTATTTAGTTAAAAGGAAAATATATTACATGTTTAGATTAGATTTTATCCTGCTAAGGTTGTGAGAATATAATACATGTCCAAAAGAATATTTACTTTTAATAAAAACATAAATACAAAAGTAACATACTTTCCTTTATTTACATCATTATTATTTAAAGTCTCAATTATTAACTAGTTGAACTTTTTTAATAAGATTGAATATATTTTTTGTCTCTTAATATTAAATGAAAATTAAAATTAATTTTTTTTTAAATTTTGAACTAATTTAACTTTTCATCTTTAAAATTTTATAAATTTAATCTTTTTAATCAAATTTTATTAAATTTATTTAAAATTTTAAATATATTTCTTAATTAATATTGAAAAAGGATCGATATATCAATGTAAACCATTCAAATATGTTTGAAATGTTAAATAAACGTAATAAAATTGAGTTAAAATCATTAAATTTACATTTTCTTGGAAGGATTAATTTTTTTAAAATGAAAAGATTAAATTGGTCAAAGTTTAAAATAGAAATTATTTTCATTTTCATCTTAATATTAAAATTTTTTAATGTGTTTAGTAGACTGTGTATCTGAAAAAGTATCAAACAAAATATAATTTCTTTCTAATAGCACAGACATAATTTAAGATAGTTGGATGCAAGTGTGGCATTCATCCAGAGCAAGATCAAAGCTATTTATGCAGCTCCAACCATGTTCTTGCTTCACTCAATCTAATTCATCTCACTAGTTACACCTTTTTTCTGTGTTCTACTTTTTCTCTTCCAATGTCTGTTGTCCTCTCACAACCTTTTTCCCCAGATCACCCTGCATTTCAATAGCCGTTAATCACTTTTCATTTCGTTACCCATCAAAATTTTCAAAACCAAATAACCAAAGCCATGCAACAACATTCTACACTGCTTTCTTTCCACCACCACTGCTACTATAACATTGTTGCAACTTGAAACTCAAAACTCTTGCCAATTTGTTCTGAAAACAATCAAATGGGTTGCTGCTTCAGCACCCCTAACTCCAACCAAACCCAAAATGAACCTCAACACCCTCAACCCCACCGTGGATCCCTTCAACAAAACTGCAGAACCAGAATCCCACAACCCCTTGAAGAGGAATATGTGAAAGAGGTTCTTTCTGAAACACCCATCTCCAAACTACAACAAATTCCAACTTTTAAGCCACAGATGAAGACCCAATTGCCCGTTATGCAGCCCCCAGAAGTGCCCGTAAAAAAAGCGTTGGAACCTGAGGAAGTCTCTCTTGTGTCGGAAACATGCAGCAACGGTGAGAGTTTCTCCACCACCACCACCGCCACCACCACGGTCACGGAAATCCGAGAAGATGAAGCCACGAGCAAGAGAAGCAACGCAACTCGGAACCGGAAGCGTTCCTACGCCGTGGACGGCAATAGAATCAGCTCCAGGGAGCGGAGGCAGAAATCTCCGGCGAGAAAGCCAGAAATTCCGGTGAGGTCACGGCCGGTTCCCCGGAGAGAATCTGATCAGGTACGCCGTCTTTCCGGCGGGGGTTCCATCCGACGGTCGAGGTCACCATCGCGTGGAGGCCGGAGTAATATCCGACCGCCGACGCGACAGGTTCCGGTGACTAAAGATGCCGTGCAGAGAAACGAAGGCGTTTCGGTGAAGGAGTCATTAGAGAACCCACATGTGTCATTGGAGTGCTTTATTTTTCTGTAGGTTCAGCAAGCAAGTTTGTCTGTTAGTTGTTTCAAGGGTTTTTGGTTTGGTGGAAGCAATTTTGAGTCGCATCACATGACATGTTTTGCATTTTAGTAGCAGTTTCAAGTTCATTCCTTTCCTTGTTTATCGGACACGACAAAATTGCTTCTGTAAATACCTGCAACTCCATATAGATGTTTTCCTTTTTTGTGTTCTAGCCTTATATTTCTGGTTAATTTGTATGGAATCTGCAGCAATAATATGTCATGTTTTGTTCTAATTCTATACACTCTTGAAAATCTTTCTGCAGAATGTTTTTTTATACAATGAATAACTAAAGCAAATGCTAAAAGTATATTATGTATAAAACTAAACTGTTAATTGCATGGACTTGATTAATCGTGGAACTAATTTAACTTGATGAAAAAAGTGTGATAATTGTACGGATGTTACAGTATATCTTGTTTAATTACATGATTTTGAACAAAAAGCAAAGAAAATATGTAAAAGTATTAGGATTGAAATATGATTGATGAACTTATGGGATCAGGATCGATTACTGGAAAAGAATTGACAGCACACTGTGCTTAGTCAGAGAAGATTAAACTATGTTAATCTGTTGAGATTGTATGGATATATGTTATAATGTATGATAGTAATTCATGAGAAGAGTTTAATGCAGTGAACCAAGAATGATCGTGGAAATTGAACATCCTCTTTGATTACTTTATGGGGGAGGGAGAAGAAGACAGAGACAGAGACAGACACAGAGGCTTCTTTTGTTTATGTGGTTTGTCTTGTTTTGTTTTCTTTTTTCTATTGTGTTCAAGCAAGCGTGTACTCTCATTTCAAGCGTGCGAAAAAGTGCAGTGGACCGCAAACTGACAAATCATGAGACAGGTTTCTGTGAAATGTTTTCACTTTACTGATTTGATTGTTAATAGTTTGTTTTTTATTCTATTGTCCAGCAAACTCCCTTCACCTTACTGTAAAAAATTGGTGACAAAGGATTAATTTGGCTTCACGGGAGTGATGAGTGTTGATTTTTGGTTCCTTTCTACACAGAATAAGTTTAAATGTATAAAGTTTCTTTCATAAACTATTTAATCGGTGAAAAAAAAAATACTCATGGTTAAAAACTACAACATCGAACAGAGAAAGAGGAAAAAAGAAAAATTACTCTTATTTTCTAATGTAGATTTTTGAAGTTTAATTAGAAATTAATTTACCTTATTTTGATTTTTTTTTACGAAATAAATTTTTGTAATAAAAATTACTCAACCTGATTTAAGTTACCCTATTTCTTAGAGAGTAAGTGTGTCAACATATTAACCAAATCCAATATGACTGAGGCTAAGTCCATCTCATCATATTTAAAAATACTTGAGAACAATTTAGTCATTTCACATTTGGGGGGTGCATGTGAGAATTACATGGTGCAGAAAGAATAAACCCCTTAATCTTTCAGGAGATCAACCACACGCATCCCACCGTCTACCGAAAATCTCTGAGCTTCACTGAGTTTCGATCGATACCAATATTGTGAATTGACAAACTAGTTTATGAGTTATGAAGGCAAGACAACTATTGATAGCTAATTACAATTTGTATAAAATATCACCCTTTAAGTAATGTAGTGGCTTGAAAGAGTTCTAATTCAATATAGATCCAGTAGAAAAAATATTTCATAAAAAAATAAAAATTAATATGATATACTACCAGAAAAAAATATTATTATTTACGGCTAAAATCTGTAGACAAGGATCAAATTTTATAGATAAGACAATGTTACTTAAAAATTATGTATAAACAAAGATTCATAGGTAAAATAATCATAAGTAACATTATATTAGGATATATTCAAAATCGGGTGTAAGAGTTAAAACATCCAACTAATTCAATAGAATATGCTTACAGTTGGTCACACTAATCATGCATGATAATCAATATCTCTTAAAAAAATGTAATGGAGATATCAACCAAAAGAACAAACATTCAAATCCAATCTCTGCATTTGTTTCTAACAAATGCCTAAAAAAAAATACTGCAACTACATAAAAAGAGTTAAAAATAATAACTAAGTAAATTTAATAATAATTATTATTAAATAAGAGAAACATTTTAAATGGATTAAGAATTACGTCATCATTGGTACTTGTGACTGAGATGATGAACCAACTCTGCTTCTAAACCTAACTCTTTTTTATACAAAATATATATTATTAATATACACAAAAACATAATTACCAAATAATTTTAGAAGAAAAATAATCCAAACTCGTACATGTGAAAATATTTTCTGAAAGCTAAAACTCTTCATTGACATTGATATCATCAGATTTCCCAACCAATTTTGAGCACATATAAGTGTTTCAATCATTGGTAGATTTGAAAAGCTTATCAAATCATCCAAAATCTACCTCTATTACTAAAGGAAAATGATACTTTGACAACATTTTTTTGACATTTTAACACTGTCTGCGTGTCATTCTCTGATTGGTCCAAAATTATTCCACAATCAATAATAATAATCATAAACATCAATATAAACCAATCACAGAATGACACGTAGACAGTATTAAAATGTTGTCAAAAAAATATTGTCAAAATATCATTACCCATTACTAAATGTACTCTTAGAGGAAAACTGTAGAGATAGAGGTGACCAACACACCTCTAACCATTCTTGATAGAATGAAAAACCGTGAAAAGAATTTATTTTTCACCAAACCAAAATATAAAGTTGTTCATCACCACCACCAACAGACCCGTTTAAATACCTCTCTACCTCTCTTTTTTCTGTCTATGAAGTCTTTTTCTCTCCCAAATGCTTCTTAAAAGCACCAACGCTTGCCAAATATTTAGAAATTTCAATAATGGTTGATGCATCAAATTCAGAAGAAAATACAGTTGTACCAACATGTGATACTCAAGTCTATGTTGTTGTTCATCATGAATTGATTTATATCAATGATACATTTTTTTAAACTATATATCTTCTACACAATTAGTTAATTATTCAACTTTGTTTGAATCATGTTTATATATTTCTTGAAAATTCTAAATCAAATACTCAAACTTGTAACGAAGATAAAAAATGACACTAAAATACATTGATGTTATCAACAATATCCCAATACTTGTGATACTTCAGTCTCATCTCACAACGAGTAGAGGCTAAGATAGTATTCGGATTCATAGTTGTTTTGTCAAGTGAAAAATGAATAATAGTCACTTGGTTCAATGTAATGTGTATACTCACATGCAATTATGTAGAAAAAAATTTAGTGGCTTCATAGATACTTTTTAGAAACTTAACAAAAGCTTGGACAGGTTTTCAATTATTAACGGTTGGAGGACTTTCATCATAAAAAACACATATAGCTAGAGTCTTCATT